GTGGTTCGGCCTAGACGACCCCGTCCGGTGCTCCGAGTTCGGCCTCTCGCAGATCTTCGGCAACGATCTCGGGAGGCTTCGCCCCGCCCGACCCACGGAGAAAGTGTTTCCTGTCTTTCTTGGGATGCCGCAAGGCTGGTCCTGGGCCCTGCGCTTCTGCACCACCTCGGTGAAGCGCTTCACCTCCGTGGCGATCGGGGGGGAGCACCGGCTAGTGCAAGAGGGGCTCCCTGCTCCTGGTCTTCGATCAGGTCTTGTCTCAAGCGTCTATGTGGATAACCTTGCCACTGTGGGCCTCTCGAGCTCCGAGGTTTCGTCAGACTACGCGGCGATCAAGAGGGAGCTTGAGAGCGCAGGGTTCACGCTGCACGAAGAGGGCGGGGACGCTTTGCTTGTCGAGAATGTGGGCATTGTGATAGACAAGAGCAGGTGCAGCATTCGTCACAAGTCCGAGAGGGCTTGGCGGTTGTATCTTGGCATAAAGTATTTGTTGAAGTTGCGCCGGGTGACTGGAGAGGCAGTTCGAGTGCTGCTGGGTCATTGCATCCACTACCTTGTCCTCCTGAGGCCGGCGATGTCTGTCTTTGCCCACGCCTATCGGTTTGTGAACAACAGCCTCGGACGTACATGTGAGCTACCTGGTCAGGTGAAGCGTGAGTTCCGCCTAATGGCGGGGCCCGTTTTCTTGGCAGAGGCACGGCTGTCTGTTCCGCCTTCGGATCGAGCCTACTGTGGAGACGCGTCAGGGAAGGGATACGCCGTCATGGACACCCCCATGGGCCCCGAGGAGCTCCGTAAGCTTACGAGGTGGAAGGAGCGTTGGAGGTTCGTGGAGGTGGAGGGGGATCGCGGGGACATCTTGAAGGCCTCTGGGAACCTGCCGCCCCCGAACCCTGGCTGGTCTGCTGATCTCGAAGTGCCTGACACGTCATACTCGCGGTGGCTTCTGGAGTCTGCTGGGATACCCACCCCGTCTTCGGGCGTCCTGGAGTCGGGGGGTTTTCGTTCGGGAGTCTGTAAACTACGAGGTAAGGAACGTAGACAGCTAGAGCAGAAGGAGATAGTTGGCATGGCCCCGATCCTCCCCGAGAACGTTGTCGAGCCTGGTCGTTGGCGCACTTTATTCGAGGGGAGGTGGAAGAGGGACGAGGCCATCCATATGAAGGAGGGGAGGGTGATTCTGATGGCGCTCTGCAGAGAGTCCTACACTCGCTCAGGTCATGGACGTCGGCTCCTCGCGCTGTCTGATAATCTCTCGTCTCTGTGCTGTCTCGAGAAGGGCCGAGCTAAAGACTTCGGCCTGCTTGCCCTGGCCCGCAGGTGCGCCGCCCACTCGATCGGATGTGGCATCGACCTGAGGCTCCGATTCATCGAATCCGAACGAAATCCCGCAGATGAGGGATCGAGACGTTTCGACGACGAAACGCGTCATGTTGCCACAACCTCTCGGGGCCCTCCGCGCTGCTCGGCCTCGTCAGCTCTCTCTCGCCGGCTTCGGGGCGATAAGCCCGACGTCCGACGTCTTCCTCGGTCTCGAGGAGCTACGCCGCCTGCAGGGGTTTCACTGGATCTGAAAAAGAGCACCTCTCGGTCTGCATCGTCCTGGCCGTCAGGCAGGGAGGTGAGTGCTCGGCAGTCTTCGTCTCGTCCGCCGTCTTTGCCACGTTCTACGAGACGCCTCGCGCCGGCCTTCCTGGAGCTCTACTCCGGATGTGGGGCTCTGACTTCTGGGATGGCCGAGGTGGGCCTCAGGGTGTCCGTGCCGTTCGATATCGCCGAGGGTCCAGAGTTCAATCTCGAGAAGCGGGGTGTCCAGGACGTCGTGGTCAGGTGGCTCACCGAGGGCCGCATCTGGCACTTGCATCTTGGGGCGCCGTGTACCCCTTGGAGTATTGCGAGGAAGTCTCGGCCTACAAAATCGTCGGTGCGGGTGTCTCGGGAGCACGTTCGGTTCACCGCAAAGTTGATCAAGCTCTGCACGGACCTGAAGATATACTTCTCCCTCGAGAACCCCAAGACCTCATCTCTGTTTAGGCAACCCGAGATCCAGAAGGCTCTGAAATATGCGGACGCGTTCTTTGTCGAGTATGACTGTTGTCGATACGGTTGTTCGTACAAGAAGCCGACCCTGCTAGCTACTAACTGTGATTCCTTGAATAGCCTGAGTCTGAAGTGTGAATGTCGGGGGCCTCACGAGATCCTTCAGGGGAAAGTACGACTATCGGCCCAAGACGGACATCATCGCTGGAAGTGGAAGACCAGTCTTGCAGCCTCGTACGCTCCCCAGCTGTGCCGATCGCGGGCGTGGGCCGCACGCTGCGCCGCTCCGAGGGGAGCAGAGCGCTCGCCAGGCGAGGCCCAGCTGTCGGGTGCCTGGCAAGAGGAGCTGCGTCAAGACGCTGGGGCCGGTCTCCATCGGCCGCGGCTCGAGCTCAGCCACCTCCCGCGTCGCTGGACCTCGCCCTGGGCCGGGGCGACAGGCGCTTGGGGCACGGGCCCAACTTGCCGCTGCGCGTGCTCAACGTCTCGGAGCGGAAGGAGGACCAGGGTTCCTGAGGGCGCGCGCGACCCGGTCGGCAGGGGCCCGCCAGGCCTACACGGAGGCCAACGACAAGTTCATTGCCTTCGCCCGCCGCAGCGGGCTGCCGTTGGACACCGCTGATCACGTTGACGAGGCGCTGGAGAGGTTCATGGAGCTGCTATTCTTGAGTGGAGAGCCGCAGTCAGTAGCCCGCTCCGCCCTGTACGGCCTCGCGTGGTGCCATCCTGAGATGCCTCATAAAGATCGGAGGCTCTACATCAGAAGCCGCGCTGCGCTCGCTGGATGGCGCAACCTTGAGCCGGGCGGGACGCGCGATCCAGCCCCTCTCGAGGTCGCGTGGCGGATCGCTGACGACATGCTCCAGCGAGGTCTGGCGCTTGCTTCCTTTTTAGTCGTCCTGTGCTTCGACTGTTATCTCCGGGCTGGCGTAGGATGCACACTGCGCCGCTCTAGCGTCATGCCACCGGCTGCTGCAGTTCCAGTGTGATCATTTCATCTTCCCCTTCAGGCTGTGAGAATTCGGGAAATGTTTCAAGGATTCGGTTGAGCGGCTCGGCACATCGCACCTCCGTCTGTCACCCCACTGCTTGCGCCACGGTGGCCCGTCGACGGACGTATACACCAAAGCTTACACTTTAGAGCAGGTGCGCCGCCGAGGAAAATGGGCCGACCATCGCAGTTTATCTAGATATGAGAAACACGCTCGCCTGCACGCTGTGTTTCAAAAGTTGCAGCCAGGCGATCAGCGCCTCGCCTCGACCGCCGCTGCCACTCTATCCAGTTGCCTGCTCGCGGCCCTCCGCCCACCAGCCCTTTTGGTCGAATGCAAGGTACATTGCAACTGTTACGTGGGTGACTGTTTCGGTCGCGCTCGCAGCGATCGTGGCTCTGGCAAGCGCGCTCCGAGCTTGTGTTTTACAGATCCAAGCGTGTGCTGGCTGCGCACGGTCCCAAGAAAAAGAGGAGCTCTGGAGGTCCTTCAGGCTCTCAAGTGGTCTCAGACTGTGGGTCAGTATGTAGCCTCCTTGGCCACGCAGTTTAGTGAATGTAAAGATTGCAGCAATCACTGATGTTTCTTTGCGGCATGAGTCGTGGCCAGGTCCTTTCGATCCATCGCCCATTGTGCTCTAGTTTTTTTCTGCTCCTCCTGCGTCCCCTCCACCACCCTCTCGCTGCGTTCACAACGAACCCAGCCCACTTTACCATTAACGGCAACTGTTACGTGAGTGACTGTTTCGGTCGCGCTCGCAGCGATCGTGGCTCTGGCAAGCGCGCTCCGAGCTTGTGTTTTACAGATCCAAGCGTGTGCTGGCTGCGCACGGTCCCAAGAAAAAGAGGAGCTCTGGAGGTCCTTCAGGCTCTCAAGTGGTCTCAGACTGTGGGTCAGTATGTAGCCTCCTCGGCCACGCAGTTTAGTGAATGTAAAGATATATAGATATATATATATATAGAGAGATGTGTCTATACATATGCACATAAGAGAGAGGTCGCGTGCGTACCGCGCCTCGGCATGCCCCAGGCCGCCCGACCGTGGGCCAACGCTCCGCTTGGAGTCAACTCGGCGGAGGCGTGGTCCTGACTCGGCGATCGGCGCGTCCATCACCAGGCCCGCTCTGTCAGGCTGGTGGCTCCGGGGTCGTTAGTTTGAGTAGGAGATCGACGACACAATTGATTTAACGCAACATGGGAATTGCCGTCGAGTTGACGAAGCGACCGTATACTTTCCAGTCGAACTATGAACATACGATATACTTTCGGTAGTTTCGTGGAAGTAAGCAGTCCTGGTATAAACTTATTATGCCGTCGATCTCCTGCCCGATAAGTGGCGCAGTCATCCCCCGCCTCCCCAAGGGGCCATTGCATTGGCATCGCTCGGACGTGTGCCTCTTTGTTCGGCCAGGCCAGCGCCAGAAAAATTTGGACCAGCTCGGAGCAGCTTGGATCACCTGTAGAGAACAAGACACACGCACGAAACCAAACAATGCGCGGGGAATAAACGTCCGGGCGAGGGCAAGTTGCCCCTCGGGGGGGTCGATCAGACAGGGGTCTCGGTACCCCTGCCGGCGGTGGTGTTCGCGCAGTGGGGGGTTGGACGACCGTCAAGTCGCGCTCCTCCTCCTCCTGCCTTCTTCTCCAGCTCCCCTCGCACCCAGTCCCCCGGCCGACTAGACGGGCCCCCACAAGGCGGGCGGGCCCGTGCCACGGGCGCACGCCGAGGGAGAGGATGGAGAGAAGGCGAGGACTCCCAGGAGGAGTGTCAGCTCTCTCGAGCGTCAGTCGAGCGAACTCAGACTGCCGATGCTCCGACCCCACCCGACTCCTCGTCGCTCTTCTCCTCGTCATTGCTTGTTCTTGATCCGTATCCAATTTGGTTCAAGCGCTTCTGGCCCGCAGCCCCCTGGCGCTTTTGGTTCCTTCTCTGCGACACAGGCCGCCGGAGACCCTGTCCGAAGCAGCCATGGCGCGCGCCTCCATCATCAGTTCGCTCATGGTGCTGGCGGTTGTGGCTTTCGGCCTCCGCTGCGCGTTCGTTCCGGCGCCCCAGTCCAGCACTTCCCGCTTCCTGGACATCTCCCCCGCCACCGCCGCCGCGGCGGTGATGGGCGCCGCACCCGCGATTGCCGCGGAGATCGACGCCGCCGAGGCGTACAACCGCAAGGTCCTGGAGGGCGCAGCTTACGGCGGGATGCTGTGCGTCTTCATGCTCGGCCTGATCGTCCAGGGGGTTCGTCGGGACGTGGGCAACAAGTGGCTCAACTGAGCGAGGACGTTTGTGCACTTCAGTCGGCGCGGAGTAGGGATCCAGAAGGGGGTGGGGGAAGGGGGGTTTGCTGACCTATCCGAGCTCTCGAGTCGATGTGGTGCGATGTATGTTCATTCCGTCCTGAATGCAGGGCGGAGTTGCCAACGCTGTGCGGAGTCAATGTTTCATGCGCCTGCCTCTGAGGCTCTGGGTCACTCACCGATTGAGTTTTTAGCGCAGCCGTGCAGAAGGTGTCATTACCACTCTTCTTGACCTTCTCCTGGCTTCTCCTTCTCGTCCTCCTGGCTTTACCTGGCTTTTTCCTTCCCGCCCTCTTTGACCTCCTCCTTCTCCTCCTCCTCTCCCAGCCTCGTCCGGATGGGCCGAGCAGCGGCGACGAGAGCGGTCGCCGCCGCAGCAGCAAGCTCGCTGGGGTGCAGGGTCCGATGCCCGAGAGCTGAGCCATGCTGGAGGAGGAGGAGGAGGAGGAGGAGGAGGAGGAGGAGGAGGAGGAGGGGGAGAAGGAGGAAGGGAAGGATGAGGAGGAGGAGGAGGAGGAGGAGGAGGAGGAGGAGGAGGAGGACGAGAAGGAGCCTGCTGATCCTTCGGGTGTTGCCAGAGGTGCCCCAGACCCACGGTGTCCTCAGGACTTTCCAGGGAGGCCCAGGTGGTCCTCTGCAGCATGCCTCACGAGGCCGAGCCTCAGGGCCTCCAAAACTGCACGGCCACTTGGGAGCACCTCGATGTCCCGAATTCTCGTTCCTCTCCCTTCCCATCCTCACCCCCTGCGCCGTCGTCGATTCCCGAATTCCCTTTCCTCTCCCTTCCCATCCTCGCCCCCTGCGCCGTCGTCGAGGATCCGTCGCACACCCTGGGCGGCTTGATCGGTCGAGCCAGACGTATGGAGATGTTGTGTACCCCTCTGCCAGAAGGATGCTGTGCCACCTTGTCCGCTTCGTGTTGCCCGTCTGGGTGCACTTCCCAGGAGCTGGAGCGCGCAAGGTCTTGGCCGTTCTAGTCATTGGTTCACGGCCGTTCTAGTCATTGGCATGGTATAGGGAAGTTCCCTCCCGCAGTGAGGTTGGCGACAAATCAAGCAGACTGCAGTCTCTGGCTAGTGACAGCTCCAGACGAGCGTCATCGTGTTCGCACATGTTGTCCGATATCACCGGGTGTCGCAAGGGTTGTCGCAGGGTGTCATTATTCATGCTAGCCAGCTTGCTCTTGTATGACACCCAGCGGATGTTCCCAACATTTGCGCGCAGCACTCGGGACTCCTGCGCTGCTCGAAGGGGGGATCATGAGTGCCCTGTCCGCCTGACGTGCCCACGTACTTCACTCTTCCTTGCACAAGGAACGACCTCCGTTCGTCGTGAACGGGTGCCCGGAGTTTTCCGCAGCACCATCCGCCCCAAGCATTCCGTGTTGTCGGTTGGTGCCAGGCTGGTGGGCGCCCGTGGGCGTTTCGTGGGCGCCCCGCGCTTGGGGGATGTGCCGAGGTTTCGCTTGGCGCCCGCCCGTGGGCACCTCGTGGGCGCTCGTGGGCGTCTCGCGGGGGGTGCGTGGCATGCCGAGGTTTCGCTTGGTGCACGTCCGTGGGCGCCCGGAGGGCGCCCCGCGCTGGATGGGGTACGCCGAGCTTCCGCACGGTGCCCGCCCGTGGACGTCCCGCGGGCACCCCGACAGCCTGCACCACGTAGACTGCACCACGCAGACTGCACCACATAGCTTCCAACAACATAGCTTGCACCGCGTAGACTGCACAACATAGCGTGCACCACAGAGCTCGCAACACATCGCTCGCACTACAGTGCTTACAGCATGCAGCTTGCACCATGCATACGGCTCCACGTAGATTGCACAACAGCTCGCTCCACCTAGCTTGCACCACATTGCTTGCACCACATAGCTTGCACAACATAGCTTGCACCACAGCTTGCACCACAATGCGTGCACCATATAGCTTGCACCACCTAGCTTGCATCAGGCATATTGTACCATCTAGCTTGCACCACAGCTTGCTCCGCATGGCTGAGACCACAGGGTCGCACCCTAGAGCTGACACATCCACAGCGCCAACGCTTTCTCCTGGGGTTCCACGCCGGCCAACATTTTCTCTCCGGCTAGGCCAGGCAGTGTGCCTTTGCTCAGTCTTTAGAAAAGGAAGAGACAAGCATTAGCCCCCGCCTATCAATGTGCCGCTGCACGATGAAGGTACTCTGATGGCGAAGCCCATGTTAGTCACATCGGGCGTATGTATCGATAGTGGAGCGTCTTTTCTGCCCTGCACGATAGTTGTATTGCGATGGCGAGACCCTTCTTGGCTACAGTGGACTTACGGTACAGCTGATGATAGCGATCCGCTTCGGCGGCGGCCAACCTTTGCAAAGGACGCCCCGCTATCTGGACAGTCAGCCGCAGGAGCCGTCTCTGGACAGTCGGCCACAGTCAGCAATATATTAGAAAAGCCAAGACGCGGACGCAACCACTCCCTCCAAAGAGCAACAGGGGATTGTGAGGATGAGGTCAGCATAAGGAGGAGGTGGAGCAAGAGCAGGAGGCATGCGCCACCACCACGTTCAAACTATTGCTGTACTTGTTTGTCTACTCATGGCCAGTGCTGCCCCCTTTTGTTTTTGGCGCCGTCTGACGTACGTACCAGCGCCTCATATCGCCTCCGCGCGGGAGCGTGATGTCTTGAGGGTTACGGTGATTGGGCAATGGTGTCTGCGGGGCTTAGCGAGCGCCCCAATGCGCACAAGCGACGGCGATGGCAGCGGCGCGTATTGGTGCCTCCCTCGTGCCGCCGCAGGCTTAGAGGTGGAGACATGGTCTTTGTGGCCCAGTCGGATCAGCGGTTCGAGGATGTCATGCGGGCCGCGGGGCAGAGGAGGGAATCTTTTGGGTGATGCAGCTCGCACAGCGAGTGCTTCCGTGCTTCCACCTCTCCCTTCACCCTCCTCCCTTCTCCCGTCTCCTCTCCTCCTGCACATGCTGTTTGCCCTCCCCCCTTCCCTCCTTCTCTGCTCGTGTTTCTCCTTCTCCATCCGCCTTCCTGCCCTCCTCCTCCTCCTTCTCCTCCTCCTCCTCCTCGGTGATCTGTGACTTACCCGCCCGCTGCGTTCCTTTCCTCTACTCGGATGTAAATGATGGGATGGGAGGAAGGTTCAGGCAGGGAGTGTATGAGAAGATATCTACGGGCGTGGTGAACGCTGACACGCTCGAGCGTCTTCCTGGTGGGGCGGGTGAGCGATTCCGTGGGCTGCTAGAGAAACACCATATGATCGCGGGGAATGCACAACAGAGGGCCGAGCACACTTTTTTCGGGAATATTTCTTCGAGCTGCATTGATTTTGTCTGTTATCCACAAGGGTTAGCACATCTTACTCGGCATTGCCATCCATTACGTCGACTAGGAGCTAAATTGCAGCCTATCAGGGGAGCCCTTCCTCGGGGTCACCTGCCTGTGGTGCTCAGTATGGAGTTCAATAAAGGTGGATTGATTCGTCCTGCTGATGATAGGATCCGTTGGAATTATGTTGGCATGATGGAGGGGCTCAGACCAGGGAGGGGGAGGTGGGAACTTATAAAGACCGTCAATGAGGAGCTGGTGGGGGCAGGAGTCCCTTATCTTCGTGACTACGCGTCCCCAGATGAGATATTTGAGATATTGGAGGGAGCCTTGGTTCGGGCGGGGCAGGTGCACTTCTCGGGGGACATTCAGAGACGAGCAGGGTATGGGGAGGACTGTGAGCGCCGCCGAAACCTGCTTCGTCAGCGTGTCGAGCTACGAGGGCGAAAGGAGGAGGGGGACGAGGAGGGGGCCGAGGCGATCGATGCTCAGCTGAAGGCCCTCTCAGCCCAGTTCCACAAGGAACGTCGGCAACACCTGCGTCAGTTTCGTGCCAGATTGCTCCAGGAAGCCAGTGAATGTTGGGCCAGGAGGCGTACCGCGGAGGCGATGAAAGCCTCCCGTCGTGCTGCTCGTTGTCGGTATGGGCCGAAACGTCGTGATGCACGATTGGCCACCGGTGCGCCCCCAGATGCTGAGGACTGGCTCCACGTGTGGCAGAAACCTGGCAGCGAGGGCGGCATGCAGGTTGAACCGATCGTCTGGGAGGAGTGGAGAGCTGAGAGGGAGGGCGAGACGTACGATTACGAGATCGACGACCCCGAGCTTACCTCCTTAGTTTAGACTGATGTCCAGAACCTTCGTTTTTATTTCAGGGACGCGCCCAAGAGGCGTGTGGTCCCAGAGGGCACGGCCCTTCTCGAACTCTGGCATATGTGTCTCTTTCCTCGGTGGCGAACGCAGCAAAACTTAGGCGTGGGCGCGAACGAGGACCCCCCCGACAACAAGACCCTGTGGTTCCTCTTGCACGTTGGACCCTTGAAGTTTCGACGGCATAGCATTACCCCCCTGTACTGGCACCGCAGTCAGGCCGCGGCGCTCCCGAAGTCATTGATGGTGCGCCCTTTGGGCAAGCGTGTCGTGCATGTGCTCCCGACGATAGGGAAAGGATGTGGCGTTTACGAGCGGCGTCAAGAACTCATTGTATATGCATGAAAGACATGTCGAATACATTTGCGAGCAGCACGCACGAGTCGATGGACACTACCGTAGGTATACATTGTGCGGACCACGATGTTGCAGTATGTTGTCAGCGCTATCGGAACTCAGTGATTGAACTCCCGACGAGCGGGGCCCGATGCACAGCTCAGCCGAAGCAGGGGGGAACGATGGGTGATCCCTACATTGTCGCCATGTTTCTGGCCACGCTCTCGAGGCCGATCCTGGGATGGGGGCGAGAGCTCTGGAGTCGGGACCCAAGTGCTAAGGATCTCAACGCACAGTGGGGCGACATCAGGGCAGACCTCTCGTTGATAAAGTACGCTGACGACTTGAATATGGTTGTCTTAGCAGGTTTTGGGACTTCACTGGAGGGGTTTCTTGGGAAGATCAGATTATCGGACGAGATCTTGAATGAAAAGTTGGCTCTCTTCGGTTTCGGTCAGAA